TCCATACCAGACCCAAAGGGTATAGATGGGGGGACCCCACGCATTTTTTTTAAATTGCTGGGCAATGCTGGCAATTCTTTTTACATTCAATAATAAGGATTCAGCTATAAAGAATGTATCTTCCCGCCAGGGGCAGACTGACCATTCGGGTACTCGGGCACTGCCCAAGGGCCTGGGGTCAGTAGGGGGCCCCATGAGATGTCCCTGGTGCCTTTCATAGGCTTTTGTGGGTGTGGTTTCAGTGTGGGCAAGGACACAGGGGCCCCGTGATCCCCTATTGCCCGGGGGCCCCATGAGTTGTCAGTCCTCCCCTGCTTACCGCACACTCAGATGCGGTCAGATACCGCTTAGTGAATTGTCCATTCTGTTCAAAGTTCGCAGCCGAACTACTGTTACATTCAAATGTTCGACCACGAACCAAACAGGGGGGTGTTCAGCCCATCACTGGTCATGTATATTTCTCTCTTCTTTTGACATCCTCTTGGTTGATGGAAATTCTAAGAACCATTATTTAATATAAATATTGAGCACCAAAAGAAAAAAAAACATGTTCATGAATACAGAGCCGCGTTAAGTTTTTCATTTCTGCCCTGAGTTCAGCTTCAAGTCGATCGTCTCCCAAGGCCCTCGCGGTGAAAGCATCTTGCGTCACATACAAGACGTTTCAGGAGGAAATGAAAATTATTTTCGGAACTATAATTACAGTTATTAGAAAAACAAATTCTTCAATTTACCAATCACGGCGTCTTTTCACAGTAAATTATACCCGGCAAATATTAATGTTGAAAATTCTCCAAGAAGTTCATTCTCTTCGGCGGCGAGCTGTAATGCGGCGGCGGGGCTGACCTATTGTAGACTCCTGCATGCCCAGTATTTTACGATGGTTTTAATACAAGTGAAAAAGGTTAGTCGTCCTCCCGGGGAGGCTTTTTAGCTTCTGATTTGAAGGATTTCAACGGCTTCCTTTTCTTTTTAATGTACGGTGGGCTGAACATGGGAAAATGTTAGTGTCATAAATTACGGATAATTATAGGCATCGACTTTATTAGCTCGTAACAAAAAAAGATGTACAAGAAATGTGGTTAGTGCCACAGGGGAACTATCAGAGGAGAAGGCAACATTTAAACAGGTTTTCTTTTATACTTTTAATGTTTATTAAAGGATAAGTTAACTTTTGTGCTAAGTAAAAAAAAAAAAAAAAAAAGTTTTTCTTCCTTTTAATTGGTTAATTAAATGGCAGACGCTATAATGAATGAAATTTATACAGCACATGCCTTCTGCACTGTGTCAGAAAACATGTGAATACAGTATGGGGCCTCTTTATACTGAGATGAAGACACATTAGATTTTAAGATCAAATATAGTTGAATAACAAAGTAATTTCATTTAATTTATTGAAATATACATTATTTTAATTTAAACTATAATTTAATTGAGGTCTTTACCTCTTTATATTGATTTTGCCGTATTCACAGGTTTTGGGGGTTTTTAGAAACATTTATCACTGTCATCCTAACATATGTGATCTTTCTAAATTTAGGATCCAATTTTTTTAATGTTAATTTATTAATTAAATAGTTCTTTTTTTTCTTTCTTTCTTTTCTTTCTTTCTTTCTTTCTTTCTTTCTTTCTTTCTTTCTTTCTTTCTTTTCTTTCTTTCTTTCTTTCTTTCTTTCTTTCTTTCTCTCTCTCTCTCTCTCTCCTTCTTTCTTTTCTTTCTTTCTTTCTTTCTTTTTCTCCTTCCTTCTCTCGCTTTCTTCTCTCTCCCTCACCCCCTCCCTCTCTCTCTCTCTCTCCTTCTTTCTTTCTTTCTTTCTTTCCTTCTTTCTTTCTTTCTTTCTTTCTCTTTCCTTTTCTCTTTCCTTCTCTCCCCTCTCTCTCTCTCTCTCGCGCTCTCCCCCCTCTCTCTCTCCTTCTATCTCTCTCTCCATCTCTTTCTTTCTCTCCCTCTCTCTCCCTCACCCCCCCTCTTCTTTCTTTCTTTCTTCTTTCTTTCTTTCTTTCTTTCTCCCTTTCTTTCTCTCTTTCTCTTTATTTTTCTCTTTCCTTCTCCCCCCCTTTCTCTCTCTCTTTCTCTCTCTCTCTTTCCTTCTCTCCCTCTCTCTCCCTCACCCTCCTCCCTACTCTCTTCTTTCTTTCCTTTCTTTCTTTCTTTTCTTTCTTTCTTTCTTTCTCTCTTTCCTTCTCTCTCTTTCTCTTTCTTTCTTTCTTTCTTTCTTTCTTTCTTTCTTTCTCTCTTTCTGTCTTTCTTTCTCTCTTTCTTTCTCTCTTTCTTTCTCTCTTTCTCTTTCCTTCTCTCTCTTTCCTTCTCTCCCTCTCTCGCTCTCTCCCTCACTCCCCCTCCCCCCCCTCTCTCCCTTGCACCCCCTCTCTCTCTCTCTCTCTCTCTCTCTCCTTCTTTCTTTTCTTTCTTTCTTTTCTTTCTTTTTCTCCTTCCTTCTCTCGCTTTCTTTCTCTCTCCTCACCCCCTCCCTCCTCTCTCTCTCTCTCTCTCTCTCTCTCTCTCCTTCTTTCTTTCTTTCTTTCTTTCTTTCCTTCTTTCTTTCTTTTCTTTCTTTCTTTCTTTCTTTCTTCCTTCCCCCCCTTCTTTCTTTCTTTCTTTCTTTCTTTCTTTCTTTCTCTTTCCTTTTCTCTTTCTTCTCTCCCTCTCTCTCTCTCCCTCTCTCTCTCTCTCGCACTCCCCCCTCTCTCTCTCCTCTCTTCTATCTCTCTCTCTCCATCTCTTTCTTTCTCTCCCTCTCTCTCCCTCACCCCCCCCCCTTCTTTCTTTCTTTCTTTCTTTCTTTCTTTCTTTCTTTCTCTCCTTTCTTTCTCCCTTTCTTTCTCTCTTTCCCTATATTTTTCTCTTTCCTTCTCCCCCCCCTTCTCTCTCTCTTTCACTCTCTCTCTTTCCTTCTCTCCCTCACCCTCCCTCCCTCTCTCTTCTTTCTTTCTTTCTTTCTTTCTCTCTTTCCTTCTCTCTTTCTCTTTCTTTCTTTTCTTTCTTTCTTTCTTTCTTTCTTTCTTTCTTTCTTTCTTTCTTTCTTTCTTTTCTTTCTTTCTTTTCTTTCTTCCTTTCCTTTCTTTCTCTCTTTCTGTCTTTCTTCTGTCTTTCTTTCTCTCTTTCTTTCTCTCTTTCTCTTTCCTTCTCTCCTCTCTCCCTCTCTCCCTCACTCCCCCCTCCCCCTCTCCCTCGCCCCCCCCTCCCCCCTCTCTCTCTCTCTCTCTCTCTCTCTCTCTTTTCCTTCCTTCCTTCCTTTCTTTCTTTCTCTCTCTCTTTTCTTTCTTTCTTTTCTTTCTTTTCTTTTCTGTCTTTCCCTCTCCCTCTCCTTCTCTCTCTCTCTCTCTCTCTCTCTCTCTCTCTCTTTTCCTTCCTTCTTCCTTCCTTCCTTCCTTCCTTCCTTCCTTTCTTCTCTCTCTCTCTTTTCTTTCTTTCTTTTCTTTCTTTCTTTTCTTTTCTGTCTTTCCCTCTCCCTCTCCCTCTCCTTCTCTCTCTCTCTCTCTCTCTCTTTCTCTCTCCCGAATGTGTAATTGCCAAATTTTGCAGCTCCCTACTGAAAAAAACAAATTGGTAGAAAAAAAAAATTGTGTTCCTCCCTCTTCCCAATGCTACCAATCCAAAACACCAGGCATGTGGGACTGTATTCTCATGGCAAGGGAAGGGGCGCTATATTGTGTGCAGACTGTGGAGCTGCACAAGGGCAGACTGTGACTGCAGGGCCCTTTTTTTTTCTTAGAGGTCCCATTTTTATTGAGATCCCCTCATCCCCATTATTATCGACATTATCAGGTAGAATAGCTCACAGCTCAAATCTCTCTAGCTGTCAATCAGGATTCTTGTTTCAATGAATAAACCAGCAGGGATCTGTCATTTGCAGCAGGAGTAGAGTCAGGGAAATGTCGTTGTTTGGTGGCCCATATTTATCTAGCTGTCATTCAATGCATGAATAATAATTTACTTCACTTGGCCCTTTGGTAAATGGAGGTGGCTTGCAAAATGGTCTTGCACTGGGCCCCTCAGCCAATGAGCAAGGTGGTATACAGTATTATTTTCCCCTCCCCCCCGTCATTTCAATTAATCCAGCTCCCCATAATAATTAATACATCCTTACATACAAGCAGTATAAGCCAGTTACATCACTTGGGATGCTTGTATCCATGTAAAAGCCAACAGGGAACTGTCATTTGCAACAGGAGTAAAGGCAGAGCAATGTCATTGTTTGGTGGCTTATATCTATCTAGCTGTCAATAAATACACAATAAATACTTAATTTCAATTGGCCAGTTGGTAAACGGAGGGAAGCTTACAAGATGATCTTGTACAGGGGCCCCTCAGCCACTGGGCAAGGTGGTATAAAGTATTATTTTCCAGTCCCTTTCCATCATTTCAGTTAATGCACCTCCCATAATAATTAATACATCCCTAAGTACAAGCACTGCTAGTCAGTTACGTCACTCAGGATCCTTGTTTCCATACAGAAGCCAGCAGGGATCTGTCATTTGCAGCCGGAGTAGAGGCAGGGCAATGTCGTTGTTTGGTGGCTCATATCTATCTAGCTGTCAATCAGTACACAATAAATACTTCATTTCACTTGGCCAGTTGGTGAACGGAGGGGAGCTTACAAAATGGTTTTGCACAGGGGCCCCTCAGTCACAACCTGGTATCAAGTATTATTTTCCACTCCCCCTCCATCATTTCAGTTAATGCAGCTCCCGTAATAATTAGTACATCCCTAACTACAAGTACAGTTACATCACTCAGGATCCTTGTTTCCTTGCAGAAGCCAGCAGGGATCTGTCATTTGCAGCAGGAGTAGAGGCAGGGCAATGTTGTTGTTTACTTCATTTCACTTGGACAGTAGGTAAATGGAGGGGGGGCTTACATCTATCTAGTGGTCAATCAACGGGCAATGAATAAATTAATTCACTTTTCAATAAAAGTGGGTCAAAAGGGCATTTGGGACCCATCTTCACCATCCTCACTACCAGATAGAAAATTATGTTAACCGAGGCATTTGTAAACTGAGGTACGTCTGTATTTTAAATGATGAGGTGTCGGGTGAGAAGCTCACAGTGTGAAGTGACATCAGAGGAAGCCGTTTCAGTCCAGGTGAGGAGTCGGTACGCCTGTGCAAGACTGAAGGGAAGGAGGCGGTACACCTGTGCAAGACTGAAGGGGAGGAGCCGGTACACCTGTGCAAGACTGAAGGGAAGGAGCCGGTACACCTGTGCAAGACTGAAGGGGAGGAGTCGGTACACCTGTGCAAGACTGAAGGGAAGGAGCCGGTACACCTGTGCAAGACTGAAGGGGAGGAGCCAGTACACCTGTGCAAGACTGAAGGGAAGGAGCCGATACACCTGTGCAAGACTGAAGGGGAGGAGCCGGCACACCTGTGCAAGACTGAAGGGGAGGAGCCGGTACACCTGTGCAAGACTGAAGGGGAGGAGCCGGCACACCTGTGCAAGACTGAAGGGGAGGAGCCGGTACACCTGTGCAAGACTGAAGGGGAGGAGCCGGTACACCTGTGCAAGACTGAAGGGGAGGAGCCGGTACACCTGTGCAAGACTGAAGGGGAGGAGCCGGTACACCTGTGCAAGACTGAAGGGGAGGAGCCGGTACACCTGTGCAAGACTGAAGGGGAGGAGTCGGTACACCTGTGCAAGACTGAAGGGGAGGAGCCGGTACACCTGTGCAAGACTGAAGGGGAGGAGCCGGTACACCTGTGCAAGACTGAAGGGGAGGAGCAGGTACACCTGTGCAAGACTGAAGGGGAGGAGCCGGTACACCTGTGCAAGACTGAAGGGGAGGAGCTGGTACACCTGTGCAAGACTGAAGGGGAGGAGCCGGTACACCTGTGCAAGACTGAAGGGAAGGAGCCGGTACACCTGTGCAAGACTGAAGGGGAGGAGCCGGTACACCTGTGCAAGACTGAAGGGGAGGAGCCGGTACACCTGTGCAAGACTGAAGGGGAGGAGCCGGTACACCTGTGCAAGACTGAAGGGGAGGAACCGGTACACCTGTGCAAGACTGAAGGGAAGGCCGGAGGGCAGATATAATTTAGACCTCCATCAATTTTCATCAGTATACACTTCTCCCAATCTATTGGAGAAAAATAAACTTTCCTTGCGCTGATGTCATTTTATTATCATCTGTTTTTGTTGCGATTTTCTATTTTTTCTCTTTTCGCACTTCATGTCAAACTTACATCAAATTTTTTTCACTAAGAAAAGTGCAACAGAACAAAAAGCAATTATTTTTGCCTATCTGTAAAAATAGCCCCCCCCCCATCTCTGTGAACGCGCCCCCATTCTCCCACCGCAGTGATTCACTGATCTACAAGCCGATCGGCCTGGTAAGTGAGCTATAAAGAGTGGAAGTGTGAAACATAATGCAGTTTTACGGCTTCTTTTTATAGATTGTCGGGGAGAAGCGTGAAAAGCCCTCGCCTCTATTTTCATTATGAAGAGCGGCTTGTGGGCTCGCGTTCCTCCGGCGCTCGGCTCTGACTCCGCACACCACATCTGACACCCCGCGCTCGCCGCCGACTGCTCTGCAGCTATTAAACTAGGTGCAATGTTTACAAGCAAATAGAGACAAATCATAAAGAGCTTTCCTCTGCTTGGGGTATTCGCGCAGGCCGTTCGCAGCTCCAAAATCCTTCTCCAGTCCAGACGCCGGAGGCAGCTCCTACGCTGGGAGTAAACGCAAAGGTTTGCTTTTCTATGGATTTCCTGATGTTGAATTACCCAGTTGGCTGCCGCTAACATGAACATTTTCCATTTAAAGTTAAAGATTATATTCATTCTGCTAATATTTTGCCCCCCCCCCCCCATAAACATGATAATGACATTTTTAAATAAAAGCTTTACATTTTCATAATGTACCTTATTTTAGTCATTACTGGGTCTCTGCGCTTCTCTATGCAATGCTGGCAAATCATTGCTGGTGGGAGGAGCTAGCAGGGTGCTGTACATAGCTACCTAGCATCCTGCCTCAATACTCCTCTCAAGATCCCGCAGCCCATACAAGCAGTGGGCGGGCTCTTGGGAGGAGTTATGCTAATATCAAAATTAACTGATGGGTGGGTGTCAGTCTGGAGGAGTGTGCCTTCCTAGGCAGGCTGTATTTGCATGCAGACCGCCCACATGTGACGCTGAGCTTCCATGATTGAAAGAACTGAAATCCAATCAGTGAAAGGGATGGGCTAGGGACAGTCAGTTTGGGGAGGAAAGTGCTGGACATCCTCCAGCCAGGAAAGGAGGCGGAGCTCTATCTGACTTGCTGCAGCTTCTAATGCACATTGTGAGAAGCTCACAGTGTGCAGTGACATCAGAGGAAGCCATTTCAGTCCAGAAGAGGAGCCGGTACACCTGTGCAAGACTGAAGGGGAGGAGCCGGTACACCTGTGCAAGACTGAAGGGGAGGAGCCGGTACACCTGTGCAAGACTGAAGGGGAGGAGCCGGTACACCTGTGCAAGACTGAAGGGGAGGAGCCGGTACACCTGTGCAAGACTGAAGGGGAGGAGCCGGTACACCTGTGTAAGACTGAAGGGGAGGAGCCGGTACACCTGTGCAAGACTGAAGGGGAGGAGCCGGTACACCTGTGCAAGACTGAAGGGGAGGAGCCGATACACCTGTGCAAGACTGAAGGGGAGGAGCCGGTTCACCTGTGCAAGACTGAAGGGAGCTGGTACACCTGTGCAAGACTGAAGGGGAGGAGCCAGTACACCTGTGCAAGACTGAAGGGGAGGAGCCGCTACACCTGTGCAAGACTGAAGGGGAGGAGCCGGTTCACCTGTGCAAGACTGAAGTGGAGGAGCCGGTACACCTGTGCAAGACTGAAGGGGAGGAGCCGGTGCACTTGTGCAAGACTGAATGGGAGGAGCCGGTACACCTGTGCAGGACTGAAGGGGAGGAGCCGGTGCACTTGTGCAAGACTGAATGGGAGGAGCCGGTACACCTGTGCAAGACTGAAGGGGAGGAGCAGGTACACCTGTGCAAGACTGAAGGGGAGGAGCTGGTACACCTGTGCAAGACTGAAGGGGAGGAGCCGCTACACCTGTGCAAGACTGAAGGGGAGGAGCAGGTACACCTGTGCAAGACTGAAGGGGAGGTGCCTGTACACCTGTGCAAGACTGAAGGGGAAGCTGGAGGTCAGATTTAAACACAGTTGTAATATGTACATGCCAAAAAAAAGTGTAATCCCCCCTCCCACACACACACTTTCCTGACCAACCATAAGGGTCTGGTAGTAATTTTGGGGTGAGGGCTCCCACCTTTGTTCTTGCTTATGTGAACATTTCACAAGCCAGGTCAGGGCATCCCCCAGACATGTTATTTAAACAAATTTAGCATATTAAGTGTTGACCTTTAGGCATTATTTAAATCCAAACTCCCCGCTGAACTGCTTTATTTTATTTTATTTTGCTTTGGTTCAAGTCCCTCAGGGCAGTGTCTAGGCCCCTCCCCCCATGACATTGATTTGACAAACCTTTACCCATTAGTCTCGGAAATGATTGCTAATGGTTTGTAAAATTCAGCTCCTATTGACTTTTAAGGGGTTCAGATTCGGCACCTGAACTTCAATAACATTTGCCAAACTTGCCTTGAACAAAACCTAGGTATGTTTGACTCATCACTAGTGATAACTAAAGATATACACTATATTGCCAAAAGTATTGGGCCCAATCCCCTCCAAATCATGTGATTCAGGTGTTCCAATCCCCTCCCAATCATGTGATTCAGGTGTTCCAATCCCCTCCCAATCATGTGATTCAGGTGTTCCAATCCCCTCCCAATCATGTGATTCAGGTGTTCCAATCCCCTCCATGGTCACAGGCATATACAATCAAGCCCCTAGGCATGCAGACTGCTTCTACAGACATTGATGAAAGAATGGGTCGCTCTCAGGAGCTCAGTGACTCCAAGCGTGGTCCCGTGATAGGTGGTCACCTGGGCAATAAGTCCATCCGTGACATTTCCTGGCTACTAAATATTCCACGCTCAACTGTTAGTGGGATTATAACAAAGTGGAAGCAACTGGGAACAACAGCCACTCAGCCACCAAGTGGTAGGCCACGTCACATGACAGGGCGGGGTCAGAGCATGCTGAAGCGCACAGTGCGCAGAAGTCACCAACTGTCTGCAGAGTCAATAGCTAAAGAACACAAAACTTGGTGTGGCCTTCAGATGAGCCCAACAACAGTGCGTAGAGAGCTTCATGGAATGGGTTTCCATGGCCAAATAGATGCAACCAACCTTACATCACCAAGTGCAATGCAAAGCATTGGATGCCATGGTGTAAAGCACGCCGCCACTGGACTCTAGAGCAGTGGAGACGTGTTCTCTGGAGTAACCAATCACGCTTCTCTGTCTGGCAATCCGATGGACGTGTCTGGGTTTGGCGGTGGCCAGGAGAACGGTACTTGCCTGACTGCATTGTGCCAAGTGTAGAGTTTGGTGGAGGGGGATTATGGTGTGGGGTTGTTTTTCAGGGGTTGGGCTTGGCCCCCTAGTTCCAGTGAAGGGAACTCTTAAGGCATCAACATACCAAGGCAATTTGGACAATTTCATACTCCCAACTTTGTGGGAAGAGTTTGGGGATGGCCCTTTCCTGTTCCAACATGACTGCGCACCAGTGCACAAAGCAAGGTCCATAAAGACATGGAGGAGCCAGTTTGGGGTGGAGGAACTTGACTGTCCTGCACAGAGTCCTGACCTCAACCCCATAGAACACCTTTGGGATGAATTAGAGCGGAGACTGCGAGCCAGGCCTCCTCCCCCGACATCAGTGCCTGACCTGACAAATGTGCTTCTGGAAGAATGGTCAAACCTTCCCATAGACACCCTCCTAAACCTTGTGGACGGCCTTCCCAGAAGAGTTGAAGCTGTTATAGCTGCAAAGGGTGGGGCCAACTCAATATTGAACCCTACGGACTAAGACTGGGGGGCCATTGAAGGTCATGTGCGTGGGAAGGGCGGGGCCAACTCAATATTGAACCCTACGGACTAAGACTGGGATGCCAGTACAGTTTATGTGCGTGGAAAGGCAGGCGGCCCCATACTTTTTGGCAATATAGTGCGTATAGAGGAATCAGGACCTCCTTCCTCCTGCTGGTGACCCCTCTAGTAATATAAAGATCTATATAGAGCAACCAGGACCTCCTTCCTCCTGCTAGTGACCCCCCATAGTGATATGAAGATCCATATGGAGGAATCAGGACCTCCTTCCTCTTACTGGTGACCCCTCTAGTTATATGAAGCTCTATATAGAGGAAATAGGACCTCCTTCATCCTGTTGGTGACCTCTCTAGTGATAACGAAGGATCTATATAGAGGAATCAGGACCTCCTTTCTCCTGCTGGTGACCCCTCTAGTGATATGAAGCTCTATATAGAGGAATCAGGACCTCCTTCCTCCTGCCGGGGACCCCTCTAGTGATATAAAGATCTATATAGAGGAATCAGGACCTCCTTCCTCCTGCTGGTGACCCCTCTAGTGATATAAAGATCTATATAGAGGAATCAGGACCTCCTTCCTCCCGCTGGTGACGCCTCTAGTGATATAAAGATCTATATAGAGGAATCAGGACCTCCTTCCTCCCGCTGGTGATACCTCTAGTGATATGAAGATCTATATAGAGGAATCAGGACCTCCTTCCTCCTGCCGGAGACCCCTCTAGTGATATGAAGATCTATATAGAGGAATCAGGACCTCCTTCCTCCCGCTGGTGACACCTCTAGTGATATGAAGCTCTATATAGAGGAATCAGGACCTCCTTCCTCCTGCCGGTGACCCCTCTAGTGATGTAAAGATCTATATAGAGGAATCAGGACCTCCTTCCTCCCGCTGGTGACACCTCTAGTGATATGAAGCTCTATATAGAGGAATCAGGACCTCCTTCCTCCCGCTGGTGACACCTCTAGTGATATGAAGCTCTATATAGAGGAATCGGGACCTTCTTCTTCCTGCTGATAACACATCTAGTGATATGACGATCTATATAGAGGAATCGGGACCTCCTTCCTCCTGCTGGTGACCTCTCTAGTGATATGAAGATCTATATAGAGGAATCAGGACCTCCTTCCTCCCGCTGGTGACCCCTCTAGTGCTATAAAGATCTATATAGAGGGATCAGACCTCCTTTCTTCTGCTAGTTATCCCTCAAGTGATAACTATGCCCTATGCAGATCTATAGTAGTGCCTACTGCAGTGATTTCCAGCCTCCACAGGTATATCAAAGTATGGCGCGTACTGTATGTACTAACATTGATCAATGCTGGTCCATCGTAAGAATGTAAACATTGCCATGCTTTGAATTTACCTTTGGGTCCTAGGCTGTATGATTTTTCTATGAGATCATTCTGTGGAATTATATTTAATGCTTTGCTAAAATCAAGTAAGTCTATGTCCTCAGCACCACCCTTGTCCAAAACTTGTTGGGTACAGTCAAAAAATTCCATCAGATGACATGATCTGCCCTCAGTAAATCCATGCTTCTTTTTAAATGTTTCTGCAAGATTTGTTCTGACGACAACTCCAAATTATGCAAGATTAGTCCCAGGGACAATGATATACAAGACAAATTTGGAGAGTAAATCTCCCTAGTCGGGATACAGAGAGCACTAAAACAAAAAAAATAAAAGTCCTAACCAGGGGTGGACTGACAACTCATGGGGCCCCTGGGCAATAGGGGATCATTGGGCCCCTGTATCCTCACCCACACTCAAACCACACCCAAAAAAGCCTCTGAAAGGTACCAGGGGCATCTCATGGGGCCTCCTACTGACCCTGGGCCTTTGGGCAGTGCCCGAGTGCTCTAATGGTCGGTCCACCCCTGGTCCTAACCCTGCATCACGCCATCCAAAACTAAGAAAATGTTATGGCCTTACACATCCGGTACTTCACAATTTTCAGAGCCGCACTAGTTAACAAAGTAATCGGTTGTGTCATTTCTTTTTCTCGGTTGGCATTGTGGCTTCACAATGCTGCTCATGCCAAATCTTCAAAGGGGCCGTCAGAAAAGTCACATTCCCTGGAACTTGGAATTTTCCAACCATATGTCACTTTTCAGCATGAGAATCACACTTCTTCTGCCTCTTGAATTCTTGATTTTCCTTCTGGTCAACCAAGATGGACGTCTTCCAGAAGATGCATATGTTCACAGAGAGGGTGCAAACACCGAACCAGAAACAGGTTTCTATGTTTAATTTATGCAGGAAGTGAAAGCGCGAGGACGTCGCCTTATCAGCTGCCGAAAACAGACAAAGGATAATGCAAAGTGATTATGTTCCCGAAACCAAACCCATCAGCAAAATGGTATTTTTGAAGTCAAATTCTAAAAAAGAATTACTCTTTTGTAATAGAACAAGCACATTAGAAAACTCTGTCATCATTTAAAAAAAAGTATATATAGTATATAAAACCACTTAAAAAAAAAAAAAGTATTGGTTTTATATAACCCCATGCCTAATTGCCAGTCACATGTCTGCAGGCCTGGGACAAGGGGGTGGGCAGGAGGAGCATCTGCCCTGGGCACTGTGGTATCACATGAGGTGGGGGGGCATGTGGGAAGATTGGGGGGAGGGGATTTGTGT